GAAGGGTTATTGAATCGTGATTTTCTTGGGTTTGATTTGAATATAGTAATTTTCATAATTTTGGAAAATTTGTGGGTAAACAGAGTATTTCCATAATTTTATATGGATTTAGTATTTCTTATTGATGATATATTGAATTGGTGTAAAAGAAACAAAGAGCAAAAAAAAAGAAAGAAAAATAGTAAAAGGAAAGAGAAAATGTATTTGGATGTCTAGTTGTATGCTCTATGTGTACCTCTTTTAATTGTAATATTTAGTCTTTCAAAAGTTAATTAGATTAATTTTTAAATTTAATTTAATTTTATTTATTCAATACTTTAAATGAAGAATTTAGATATTTAAAATTATACGAAAAGTATTATATATTACAATTTTTTGCATATTAATATGATGAAAACTATTTGATAAAATATTAATCAAAGTTCTTATCATTTTACTCTAAAAAAAATCATGACAATTAGAAGTGGACAAACAGAATATTGATTATTACTAAATTACTACCCTACCTACATAGTAGTAGACAATGGAGGTTGCATTAAACTATACCCTTTCTTAGTATAATATGCTTACTAATTTAATATCGCGCTATATGACAATAATAATATATTGAGTGTAATTTTATAAGTGAAATTTTGGAAAGAAAAGATGTATACATATCTTATGTCTTAATGGTTTATTCCTAATACCAGTACTAATATTCTTATTAGCACTTCCCAAAGGTTTAATGATTGGTTAAGAAATCAAATAATGGCAACATAGTGACAAAATGCAACTTGGTTGCCCCTTTATTTTTGAATTTTAAAAAAATCAACCCCACCCAATTCTTTTAGTTTCATGGTCAAGATTACACATTCTCATTTGATTTGAAAGCTACATTTCATTAATGACCCTTTCTCACAATTAATATGTAAAAAGTGTAGTTAAAGTGTAAGCTGAAGTTAACTAATTATATTATGTATAGGTATTACAATAATGCATATTATGCAAAAGTTGGAGGAATCAGCATCACAGAGATGAACTTTCTTGAAGTGGATTTCCTATTTGGATTGGGTTTTCATTTAAATGTAACTCCCACTACTTTCCAGACTTATTGTGCATATCTACAAAAAGAGATGCTAATGCAATCACCACCCATGAATTTTGAAGATTCTTCCTTATTTATAGGAAGATCACCAAAGCTTCAATATATTTGTTTCAATGAAGACGAATCGTCTTCGCAGCAACAACAACTAGTTGTTTGATTAGTATTGTTAATGTAGTTATCAGGTTAGGTGTAGGGTTGATTAAACTGAAAATTGTACTGAAAAAAAAAGGAAGATTGTGTGGTTCTTGTGTTTTGGTTTTTGTTCTTTTATCTTATGTTTTGGCAACATTTTGAGGGTGCTTTTTGAAGAACTCATGAAATGAAATGGTATGTACAGATGGGTGTTGCTTTTGCTTTACAGTCTGGCTAAAAAAAGTTGTTTTCTTTATTGTTTTCTGTTCTATTAGATACTTCTTCTTGTTATCCAAGTCAAGATTCCAATGATCTGTATGATTATGACACTGTCAAAAGCACAGGTTGGCATTTTTATAGTTTATACAGATTAGAGTTGCACAATTTTTCAATATGTAGTGCTTATTGTTTGAGTCTTGGAAGCAGTTTGCTAGATAGGGTAGGTTATTCATATCAAAGCGCTGATAATGATGAATGTTTTGTGCATTGACTGTTCTTTTTGCAAGATGATGTGCAAAGAACGTTGTGTCTTTAATAAGAACATTTTATCATGTGTTCACGTGCTCAATTGAAATAACTGTATGTGTCCACAGGTGCTCAATTTGAATTACTATGTTTGAACTACAAAATAACAGTATTTGAGATAGTGTGATCTCTTGGTGACTTCCAATTCTAATATAAAAATAGCAGTTACTAGCCACTTTTAAACTTCGTCTTTGATTTGTAAAATAGCCACTATCAAATTTCAAATTGTCTCAATCGAGCTGAATGAGTTCAATGTTTACATTGCTAGCATTTCTTAAATAAAAAATAATTGCATTTCCATTGAAAAACTTTATTATTGCTTATGGATTCATAACTCATCCAACCTGCCCAAGTTTGAACTTATATACCGTCTTAGTTTGAGTTAGCTATTGACCCGTTCAAATTTGGGATGATTATTGATCCATCTATTTATTAGCTCTGTCAATCAAAGCTTGGATTGATATCTAGCGCAAATTGATCCATAAGCAATTTAAATAAAGCAATTAAAAACTTAATAAGAGCTAAAACGATATAAATCATGAAATGCATTTTCACGCTAAGTAACTTTTCAACTGATCATTAATTTACTCATTTATTAACTCAATTCTGCTCAAACTGGTCCATTGGTCACTTATAATAAAGAGACAGGAATGAAGAAAGGGACATAAAAAAGGTGATGAAGAAGTAGTATGTGGATGAGATTATATTGACAAAGCAAAAGCACTAAAAGAGAATTACTAGATATGTAATTACAATGAAGTATGTGTTATAGTCATTTGTGGTAGTAAAGACAAGTGAAGACATGCCCCTTGACAGTTGTATTTTATTCTGGGCAGGGGAACATACTACATGTGCAATTAATCATACAAGTGTACAAATGCTTCTGCATGTGACCAACTTGATACTTGAGACTGACATATATATATATATATAAAATTCTTCTTTTTCTTTCAATATATATATGTCTTGTATATAGGTTAAGTCATTTTCATCTTTTCATCAGTACATAAAAGGGGAAATAGGGAGCTAAAATTCAAATCAAATATTTGGTTGTCTAGTGTTTATACGTACTGCTAAAAGTACTTGAATTTGTAATTTTATTGTCAAACTTAAGCAAATACACTTTAGTTTGCAATGTTATGTATCTTAACAAATTTTAATGTCTCTAGATACATGTATTTCGAATATATAAGATCAAAATTATGTGTAATTTGTTTTAAATACATTATATTCAAGTGTATTCATATGTATATATATCAAATCTCGTTGCCATCTCGCTCGATACTCTCTCATGTATCTAGTATCACATATACATATAGATACATGTATTAATGTGGGATATATACATACAATCTCTTTCGTCTCTCTCTCCCTCTCTCCCTATTTCCGTGTATATAGTATCTTCAATATATGGTAAGATATGAATAATATTTTGAAACTATTAATAATAATAATAATAATAGTATATATGACAGTAAAATATGTCTAATTATATAGTTTTTCCTTTTATGCAGGGGCGGACCCAGTAAGCCAGAAGTGTGTGCTCGAGCACCCATTGATTTCCGAATTTTTTTGTATATATATATATATATATATAGAAAATATGATACATATGTTATTATAATTTAAATGAGCACCCATAGAACAAAAGCAGTTGTGGGTGAATTGGGTTAAAACTCTGCAATAAGAGGCGCGCGAAGTCATTGGCTAGGGTTTGAATCCCGCCAATAACATTTCTTTTTTTAAATTTTTTCCAACGAATTTTACACCTGGAAGTGAACACCCACAACCCTTAAATCCTAGATTTTTTCCAGCGAATTTTACACCTGAAAGTGAACACTCACAACCTTTAAATCCTGAATCCGCCACTGCTTTTATGAAATAGTATTGGCTAATATTATGAGCTAATACTATGTCGATTTTATCAATGATACAAATATTACTTGTGGATGTCCATATTTACGGTCAGAATTTAGTAACTGTGGTAACAAATTTTATGTTGTTTAAATGGAGCCCTTGGACTTGACGTATTATATAGTAGCATTCAGTAATCATGAACATTCTCACATTTGCAGACGTAGATTGGACATGATAAAAAAAAAATTTAAGTACACTATTGGTTAGAGTGTGTTTGTAAGTGGAAACTTCCTATTAATGAAAAGTAAAAAAAAAACAAAATGTTGTATCGTGGTCCATTGAAAATATAAATTTACACGTGAAATTACAGTGATAGAATCATAGAAATCACATTAAAAGTTGAAGTACACTACACATTAACATTTTGGTGCATGTGTTGTTCAAATTCGATTTATTGGAAAAAAAAAATTTATCGTGAGAAATTTAGTAAAACTTGATTTTCACTAATTTTAAAAAACCAATCAACTCAGCTATTGAGATTCGTAGCACGCCTCATTCACATTGTAAAATAGAATAATACAAAAAAGTTACTCCCATAACTTGTCGAGTACATGTGCAATGAAATTGCCGTAGCTCTGAACTCCAATTTTTTTTCATGGAATTGAACAAATTATGTTTGTGCATGTTACCCCTTGAGAGTTGAGACTGACACATTATTTTCTCTCCAAAAATATTGTTTTCTTCTGTGTGTGTTTTTTCCTAGGGATTTCAGTATTTCTGTTATGTCATTATCTTCTTTCTGGTTAAAGAAGAAAATTCAAATTGAATTTGTCAAAATCTTTTGTTGTGGACGTACCTCTAAAAATATTCTTTTAAAAAATAACAAATAAAAAATTGAGGTATATAAGCACTTAAAAATTGATTTTACTTTAATAAACATTTGGTTTCAGCTAGCACTCCAATTTTGAGAGTGCATAGCTGAACGCTTCAACTTGGTCTCAATTTTGGGCATGCATATTTTCAACTACGTCACTCAAATTCCGGTTTTGAGTTCCATCGCATTTCAAACAACCTGCGCGAGAATTTAACCTTCTCCCAATACTAGTGAATCCAATCCAGCAGCTACCTCAAACAGGTGTTGCGTAGCATCTTTATTATACAGCAAAAACTGGAGATCCTTAATAGAAACTCCGCTATACTTACACATCCATTCAGTCACTTCTCTAACGCCTTGATTTTTTGAAAGCGCGACAACATATATCTCAATTCTGTTACAAGTACTCAATACAGCAGCTTCTTCGATGTGATTTAAGGAACACAATTCGCGAATTGCTAGAGGCCAATCTGATTGAGGTTCTCCCGCAATTCAACTGGTGCTGTATGAATGTTAAGTCCAATAACCATAATGTTGCTACTCATATTCGTATATCGCATTAGATGTTTTCAGAACCTCCAAACCTGAAACATTCGATTCCTTTTCTACCATCGATACCTGGCTCGATGAATACGTACATACCAATGGCTACGACTCCTTCCCAAAAATCTAACTTGATCGCGAAAACAATGCACAGAAGATGAATAATCACAATGGAAACTGCAACGACCTGTCTCTGCAACTGCAAAAGAAGTAGCAAAACTACTCGCCATTGCAATACAATTCATGGAATATGATTGAATCACAAAGTATAACAGTTATATATTTATAAGCTAAGGGTTTCTCTAATATTGGAATTATAAATTTCCTTTTTCGATTTGTATATTCAATTACGGAAAGTAATTTTCCATTTATGAAATTAAAACTTTTTTGGCAAGTAAATCATTACTCTTTTCCTTCACAGTTGTTTGGCAGCTAAACTAAAAATATATGTCCAAGATTAATTGTCAATTTAAATCATCAAAAAATAATTAGTTATTTTTTCCAATTTTGCCCTTAATAATACTCCATTCTGTTTAATTGAAAAGTCATGTAGACTATTGATATTTTTGCTATAGCAGAGTTATATTAATCAAATTACACCTGATATTAAATTTTCTTTAAAGGGAGTACATGACATTATCTTGGCGAATAATTGTGGATCGAGAGAGCATATTAATTAAATTGGAAAAAAGTTCATTGATGATGCGATAAGTGATATGGAAAAAATGTTTCAAATCAACTATTTATATATAAATATAAAGTTTAAACACAAATAAATTCTAAAAAGGAAACACTCTCGGTTTTATTCCGGAAAAAAATTGTAATATGTATATCAAATAATATACAAATTGTAAATTATGGAACATTTATAAATATTAGATCAATTCTTAAGTTTCTTATAAGCTTGAATCAATTTTTAATCAAGTGTTTTTGACACTTAAAACTTTGAATGGTCTTATAAAAGTTAAAAGTCTATAGATATTATTAACTCTAATAAATCAATATTAATTCTAACAGAATAAATTAATTCAACACTAAGAATGACAATAATGTTGAATATTTGTTCTTTAGTTTTACATTGATTTAGACAAAATAGATAATTCAATTAATTTTTTTTTAATGTTTTATCATGTAATTAATACTTATTAGATTAATTTTTCCATGATTTATTACTTTTAAATTATGATCATTTTCATTATGATTTATCAATTTGCAATATTTATTTTTATATGATTTCATTATTATTTTTATTTAATATTTTTAGTGTACCCCTAATCTCATATTTTGAGTTATTTTCTTAAGAAACACCTTAGATAGTTGTATTTTGGTTGGATTAAAGAAATATTTGGAGCACAAGTTAATTACATGTTTGTATGAGTACTTCGCAGAAAATTTCAAGGTTTATTAATTTGGTTTGATTAAATTTTTTTAAAATTTGGTATAAATTGTTTTGTTTG